TAATTCTTATCAATAGATTCATCATCTTCTAAGAGGTTTTGGTAAGGTTGAGTAGGGTATCTATTTCAAGGCTAATGTTTGCGGTCACCCATTAGTTAGTTCCCAGTGAGGGATATTTTTATGGCGCGCCTACAATCGTTATGTGACTGGGGAATTGTCTTTTATTATTGTCCATCTGATTATCTATTTGTTTATTTGTTTATTCAAGTGGGTGTTTTATATACAGATCGCATTGCACTGAATTTCAATTTGTTTTTTTTGTTTTTTGACCACTACAAAAAGAGTTTTTCCTATTTAATGATTTGGCTTTGCTTTTAAGAATTTTACTTAGCTATGGTATTTTTTTTTAATGCTAATTATTTAATGCGAAAGTTTGTTGATGTCTGCAAAAAACCGTTAACTCCTGCCTATGGTTTAATAATTTTTCATTATTTAGAAATTTAATGATGTGTAGTTTTTCCTGTAAACATAAAGGGCATGGGTCATCCCAGGTTTTACAGGTTCTTGTTTTATTTATTATTTTCCATTTTACTTTTGGTGTTTTAGTCGTTTCTTTTAGAGGCCAGAAATATTGGGATAGAGATGTCTGATTTCTATTTTGAATATTGTTGAAGGAGCTCTTGTGTTGCCTCCATCTAATTTTAAAATTATTCTTTGTTGAGCCTATGTATATCCTATCAGTGTTAGGACTCTCAATGGATGAGATAGTGCACTGGTATACCACAGATTTTGTGAGCCATTATTTTCCAACGGGCAGTTTTTAGGGTTTCTACAATCATATAATTTTTCGTTATTTTTATTTGCGTGTTTTTCTAGGATTTTCTTATTATGTCTTTTTATGATTCTGTCTATATTTTCAGTGCAGCTGTAACTCAATTTCAATGTGTTTATGTTAAAGATGTCGCTAAGTTTGCTATTAGTGGGAAAGTGCTTTTCAATTAAAGCTAAGAACTTATGGCCTAGTTTGGTGCTGACCATTTGGTTGTACGGGGGGGGGTATACCAGATGATCTTTCTTTTCTTGTTTTTCTTATTATTGGTACTATCGTTTCTATAGGTTATGTCAGCGTTTTTGTATCCGCTATTTTTCAGGGCTGTGTTGTAAAAACCACTGTGTTGTTGGAATATTTCCTTATTTGCTGAGTTCATACTTATTCGTTTCTCTATTGATGCGGGTATATGCTTAATTATAGATGGAGGGTGTACATACAGGGGATTAGTATTAGGTTTTCTGTAAGGTAGGTGAACGTTGTTCGTTAAGTCTAGGGTTACGTCTAGGAAGTTTACTCTTTTTAATTTAGTGTTGACTATTGTTTTTAAATTTAGTTTCCTGAATTCATTGTAAATTATCTTTCTAATTTTCTCTGTTTTAAAGTTTGTGGAGCTCTCACTACCATGAGCCCGTCATATCTGTATAGCCTGATGTCTCCAGCGTCTAGTTCACGGTGGGCGGTTAGATTGTACAGTATAAATAGACCGACAAGGTCTAAAGATTCTGAAGAGTCTAGAGATCCCATGGTGATGTCAAAGTTGTCATTGGTGTTTTTAATCCACTGGTCCCTATTATGGATGAGGACAGATTTCTTTTTCACTGATAATTATGTTTGTTTCTTCCTTAGTTAAGTCTGAATATACTGTAGCAAACTCTAGGGCAGTCGTGAGAGGGTCTTTTGATATTGACTGGTAGTAATCGACAATATCGAACTGAATTAGGGTGCAGTCGGGCTTATTGTCGATGTTGGTAAACCAGTTTATGACTTCTTTGGTTATAATCCAGATTGTTAATCCAAGTTGTTTTTTAATTTGGCTATTGATACTTTCTAGGATTTTTTTGCTTATCTTTCCTATGTCGGGTCTAGTAGGTTTTATATTTAATTCATTGTGTTTCTCAGGAGGAGCCTTTTTTATTTTGGGATATTTTATGGGTCTTTTGTTTGGCAGTGAATATTAAATAATTAGGCTCCTGGAGAAGTTTGAAAGTATTTTTTCTCTTTGTGTAAATAATGCGGGCTGCATGTTCTGAGTGCTCTTAAGTAGATTCCGATGATTAATCCCGAATTTTATTTTGTTTCTATTATTAGAATAGAAATTTATTAGGTCATTATTTTGGTTGATTTCCAGAGGAAACCGAGTTTTAAAATGTTGTTAACGCAGTGTAGGTTGATATCTAAGAAGGGTAAGGAATTTTCTTTTTCCATTTCGTATGTAAATTCCATTGTTTGCTTAACTTTCGTTAGTTGATCTACTAGGTCTGGTAAATCAGTATCACAAGGATATATAAGTAGAGCATCATCAATATAACGGAAGTATATTGTTTGTTTGGGGTAAAATATATTGGAAAGGACCGGATTCGAGAAACTGAAAGAAGATACATGCCAACATTCCACTGAGAGGCGATCCCATTGGTAATCCAAATTTTTGTTTTATGACATTCATTATTAAATACGAAGTAACACTGATTGATTAGACGGCTGATTTTTTTAGAGGGATTTTTATCTTCGATTGTATTGGATGATTTTTTTAGGAGATTTACATATTTTTCATTTGGAACGTTGGTGTAGTGATATTTTATATCTAGGCTGGCCATGCCTTTGTCTGTCATGTTAATTTCGCTTAGATTTTCAACTAGGCTGTCTGAGATCTTTATGTGAGATGAACTAATTGTTAGAAAAAAGGGGGTAAGAATGGGGCCGCTGAGACAATAGGGTGCAGTGGGGCTGCCAGTTTTGCTTGTTTTAGGGAGAGCGTAAAGTTTGTTGTTTCTAGGTGATATTCTATTTGTCTATACAACGATTTGTTTTCAGAGACTGTCTATATTTCTGAGATGAGGTATTATGTACAGTATTTACATTAGTCGGACTATTGTCCTCATCTTTGTCGCCATGTTTATCACAACGTTTCGGCCGCTGTACGCTCCGTCCTTCTTCAGGTAGAACTAGAACAGTCTACCCCAGTGATCGAAATAAAGGGTTCAGTTCGAAATTCCAACCACCTGAAGAAGGCCGGGGCGTACAACGGCCGAAACGTTGTGGCAAATATGGCGACAAAGATGAGGACAATAGTCCGACTAATGTAAATACTGATTTGTTTTCAGTTTTAATTATTTTCCTGATTTCCGTGTTAAATTTTTTTGTTTCATTTGCTACATTTTCTTCGTTTATTTTTGCGTATGTGTCAATATCATTGAATAGTGAGTTTTATTTTTTCTATGTATGTATTCTTGTTCATGATGTCAGAGGGAGTGGTGGGGATTTACTATTTTCTCACTAAGTTCTATAGTGCATATAGCTGTCTCGTTGGTAATGTATTTTCATTGTTGGTTTCTATAGTAGCAATCATTATACCTTACTTACAAAAGTACACTATACATACAAAATATATACTTACTTACAAAAGTATACTTAGAAAAGTAATAGAAAGAAAAAGAAAAAAGACTGAACTCGGCTAGAAAATTTTTAAAAATCGCCGAAATTCCAGTCAACCCTCTTTTGAACGAATATATATTCCTACCTAAAAAAAAAAAATTTAGGCCGATAAATACCTTAAAGAGGAAAGGCGCTACAAGGAGATTTTTCACTTTGTCATGTATTTAATCCTAATACAGTTTTTGATGTATAAAAATATATATCGTTATCTCATACATATATAGAGATTTTTAATGCCATTCGCAGGCAGTACTGTTTCGTAGCTCTTCAGTGCGACTAAACAAAGCAAATACATCAAGACAAGATTGAAACCCAATCGATTTGGCATCGGTAAGAGTTTCTTCCACTGAGCTATCTTCATTGCACAAATGTAAAGAAGTGTCAATCAGCCGGAGTCCTCCATTCATTTTACAGAAGACCTTCGCAATAACGCAGGTGGCTATTCTTTGCAGAATTAGCTTGTCATACAACAGTGCTCAATTGAAATATATTTTTAAGAGTTAAACACATGCATACATAAATATATATATATATATATATATATGTGTGTGTGTGTGTGTCTGTGGGTGTGGGTGTGTGTGTATAAGCTCTCGCGTCGGTATATATTCTGAAAACCCAACGATTTGCTTCTGTTTTAATAATAAAGTTTTAAAGGTCAAATTAGCGGCTGATCTCACAAGTGACCTTTAGAATGTTGCTTGTTAATTTTATTGTCCCCAAAAGGAAATTGACTGTTTTAAAAATCCTGTAAATTTAATTTTATAAGGTGAAAATGGCCATTTATATAATGGTATCATAATTGCAAATGTATGAAATATATTGCTCTGTTTATTAAAAACCCATTTAGCTCTATGATTTATTATTTTATATGCGTTAATAGGTTTTACTTGGATTATATATAAATATATATATATATATATATATATATATATATATATATATATATATATAAACATATATATATAAATATATATATATGTATGTATATATATATATAAACACACACACACATATATATATATATATATATATATATATATATTGTATATTTTGACATGATTTTTTCATTAACACATATCTAATTAATAATTTAGACAAGTATTTTTTTAAAAATATATGGACATTCAAAAACTAGTTTTAATTACTCCTTTAATTTACATCGCGAAATTTTAAATCGAACAGTACATAACTCTAGCCTTTTTTCCATCACATTAGAAAGATTTTCCTTTCAGACGAAAACAACAATTTTGTCTTAGAAAACATACCTTGAGGATGATGTATTAATGTGGAAAATATAAATGAATACGTATCAACATGGTTATATATATATATATATATATATATATATATATATATATGAAAAATTCTGACTTTCATTTAATAAGCCTAAGAATTATATCACTAAGCCTCCCCCACATTTTACCTTATCTACACAGTAGCCATTTATAATATTTTAGAGGTGACTTAACTATATATATATATATATATATATATATATATATATATATATATATATATATATATATATAGATAGATAGATAGATAGATAGATAGATAGATAGATAGATAGATAAACCGAGATAGATAGATAGATAGATAACAGCAGGATGAGACACAGATAGGAAATAAAAATAATGAGATAGATAGATAATAATGATATTAATATAAAGAAGTCTTCTAAAGTAAATTGTAGGTTTATAGAGTCATCCAAATGTGTGCCAATGATGGCAGATCAAACATGGTTTAATAAGTATCAATATAGAATCTCCACGGGTCAAGAAAGTGGACCTCCTAACCCGACTGGCTGGTTACGGAACAAATGTCTGCCAGGTCACTCATAACGTCTATCTTTCAGACAAGAACTATTTTTATCTTTTAGCTACCAGGCAGACACACTGTCCTCTGTATATTTCGATGAAACAAAATTGCCTGCTTAATATCCAAAGCCGACACTCATGTGCTTTACTGTCTTCAGGAAGAGAAAAGGAAAACGTATTCAAAATTTTGACAAAATCCCACTTTCAACCGATGCGTCACAAATACACAATATATATATATATATATATATATATATATATATATATATATGTACTGGCAAATAAATATATACTGGCTCCTCTTGTCGGATTTTTTTTTATCGAAAGAAGTTAAATAAGAACATGGAACATTTTTTACCAAAGTCTCAGCAACAATTTTTCTTTTATTTCTAAAACTCTGCACCTTCGTTTTTATTTCCTTCTACCCCTGTCAATATTTATCGGGTGTAACTGTAAAATTCTCGATTTGTTAGATTAAGCTTTGAACCGTTGTGTCTTAGAAATGATTAAAGATATCTTATTGGAATTCTGTGAGTATTTATATAACACTATTGAACTCTCCTTTTAGCAATATGAATGTATAATTACTCTCCAAGCTTAACATCAGAAGAGTCATGAAATCGATCATAAACAAAAATGACATGTTCATCATTAATTAATCATATCTAAACATCGGATGCTCATGAAGGATTGAAATACAGTTCATATATATATATATATATTAAGAAATGGACAAGGTCCGACAATTTATTTATTAAAGACATTTTTTTATGTTTAACGTTGTTATTTTATGGATACAAGTATTTAAGCAAATGCTCTGTTTATGATAAACAGTATTAAATAACATTTACCGGCCTGAATGTCCGAGAAATTTTCATAGAAAATATTCGTTCTTTGACAGGATTCGAACCTGCAACCTATAAGGAGCCTTACCTCTAGGCTACAAAGAACTGTTCGGTAGACAATGTCGAATTTACTGCTTATAAACTCCAATCTTCCATGAATCTCGTACATTCATAACTGCTCTGGCGTATCAAATGTAAACAAATGACGTCATATATTAAGAAATGGACAAGGTCCGACAATTTATTTATTAAAGACGTTTTTTTTTTTTTAACGTTGTTATTTTATGGATACGAATATTTAAGCAAATGCTCTGTTTATGATAAAAGATTAAATAACATTTACCGGCCTGAAAATTTTCATAGAAAATATTCGTTCTTTGACAGGATTCGAACCTTATCCTATACTGGAACCGTCATAACAGAGGTCGAATTTGCTTACCTCTTGTATCTATAAAATAACTGTTCGGTAGACAAAAAAAATGTCTTTATTAAATAAATTTTCTTAAATCTCGTCCATTTATAAAATAACTAAACTCTGGCGTATAAATAAATTGATCGGACCTTGTCCATTTTAATATATGTTAAGAAATGGACGAGATTCATGGAAGATTGGATTTATAAGCAGTAAATTGACCTTAAACATACCGAAAGGTTCTTTATAAATAGAGGTAAGACCACGTCCATTTCGTATATGATGGTTCCATATAGGATGCAGGTTCGAATCCTGTCAAAGAATGAATATTTTCTATGAAAATTTCGGACATTCAGGCTGGTAAATGTTATTTAATACTGTTTATCATAAACAGAGCATTTGCTTAAATACTTGTATCTATAAAATAACAACGTTAAACATGAAAAAAATGTCTTTAATAAATATATATATATATTTAAAGATATTTTTGTAGGTACAAAATTGAATGATAGAAATAAAAGTATAAAACTTAATGTTACTAGACATATTAAAAACGGGTGAAGCAACCAGTTTCGCTCCCGCTCTTCAGGCTTCAACGGGAGATTTCATTTAAAATTAAAAAACAGAAAAATGTACAATAAAAGGAAGTTGTGGGAGGAAAAAAATTGCAAAAGGAACTAGAGACAAATGACAGCGAGCCCCAACAAAGACTCATGTTGTTTACACAAAGAAGGCTTAAGGGACCCGATGTAAAGTGCCTCCAGATGAAATAAAGAGTGTGACCGAAACAACACGGTGAACCAGTCAGCACTAAATTTGCCTGCGCAATCTCTGTTCTTTAATAGGTGTTCGCTTATGGCGGAACCATAGGTGTTCAGGACGAGTCCATTCAACGGCAAGGTGTGATTTCTAATTTTGTAGGAACGGTGTGATTTCTAATTTTGTGTGTGTGTGTGTGTGTGTGTGTGTGTGTGTGTGTGTATATATATATATATATATATATATATATATATATATATATATATATATATATATATATATATATATATATATATATATATATATATATATATATATATATATATATATATATATATATATAATGTCAGGGTAATTTTCCAACTTACACTAGCTGATCCACGCCCTCTCTAACCTTCTGTCCTGGTGTAATAAATTGCCACACAAGTTTCACGTAGGATCTTATTTTTAAGTTCTTTTTCACTACTCTGTGGACTGTCATGCCAAACGTCTTATAGATTGAGTTAAATCTTTTCTAATTGATCTATTTAGCCCTAAGTTAAAATGATGACCCCCCTCTTCCTTTTATGACATCCTGATAGAGTTTCCCTCTCGACTGTTCCTCTTTTATTAAAACTTGTTCACCGTTTTCTTGATGGCTTTTAAATGTTCCTAGGTCTGTGTGGTGTTCATACCAATTTATTGCAGTTTCTCTCCGTAAAAGTTAGAGATTTTCTAATGCAGATGTTGGCCCACCCTGTCATGCCGAGTTTTATATTCACTGGTTGCCAATACTGTACAACCTGATACAAGATGATCACTTGTTTCTGGAATTCATGACAGGATATGCATTTAGCTTTAACACAATTTTTTAGTATTTGTTTTTTTTTTTAATTTCTATTTAATAATCATCGACCATGTTAGATTTTAACTCTGCACTACGTAATCACTAATATGTATTGGGTTTGTCTACATCAGCTTAACATGGAAACGATATTGACCACGAAGTGTATTGTCTTGCCAGTGATTCTGCCTTTGTTCCATTGCATTTGCTTTCATTTTAGATTATTTGCCGCTGTTTCATCTACTTGAAATTCAATTTTGAATTTGTTGGCTTCCTTTATTAATGAATAAAGTTTCATACTTCTTTTCATATTCTTTGACACAGTTCATCATCCAGTCTTCTGCAGTTTCCAGGTATCTGGACATATTTAGACGATCAAGATCAACCTTAGGATGATGCATAAATCGCTTAATATCAACAATGGTCCAGTTAAGGATGTTATTATTATTATTATTATTATTTATTGACAAGACATAACGATCGTGCTAACTAACGAAGGGGGAATAAAAACAATTATAGTTTCCCAAACTACATGTTAAACAAATTAAATTAACTTTTTAAGAAATAAAGCAAAACTTTAATGCAAATATTTAAATTAATATAAATACACTATTAAATTATTCCATAAAAATTACCAACACCTTAATATCAAACTAGAAGAAATGTTCAGAATGAACGTAATACATGATATATATCTGGGAAAATCTATTATGAAAATGATCTTAAATGATAGCCACGTATCACAAATATATATAAAAACAATTTGGTCTAAGAAATCGTTTACTTTAAAAATGAAACCACACATACATTGATTACGCAGTCAATACATTATCTCGAGGATTAACTTGTCATCTACCTCATACTAATGGCATTTAATAAAATATTCAAAAACAACAAAGAAACTTGACAAATACTTATCGATAATATAAAATGTATAAACTGATGAAATATAAAAACTGAAATCATGACGTACAAAGTGAGTCAAACTGGAGCGTGGATTTCCATAGCTATAAACTCTTCATCTTGTATGAATTGAAAACTTTCAAGTAACACTTAGTACCAGGAATTATACAGATAGATAGGCAGACCAATATCGCTAGATATAAAGAACCTTACATGGATTAATATTAACTTCGAAAGTAAGAAAAAACAAAAAAGGATATAAACAGACTGAGAGAAAATATATACCAAGTAAACTTTAACAGAACAGACTGAGATAGATAGAAAGATAGATAGATATGAACAGATTGTGATAGATAGATAGATAGACAGACAGACAGACTGAGAGAGAGATGAGCAGACAGATAGATAGAAAGATAGATAGATAGAGATATGAGGATAGGATAGATGATAGATAGATAGATAGATAGATAGATAGATAGATAGACAGACAGACAGACAGACTGAGAGAGAGAGATGAGCAGACAGAGATAGATAGAAAGATATAGAAAGATATATAGATAGATAGATAGACAGATGAGAGAGATGAGAAAGAGATAGATAGAAAGATATATAGATAGATAGATAGATAGATAGATAGATAGGATAGGATAGATAGGATGATACAGGATAGGATGGGATAGGATAGATAGATAGATGAGATGTTTGACTTGAGTGTTTGATAAAGTCTCATAGTATCAAACCGTAAAAGAGTTCTTTAGTCAGTTCACCACACAATTGCGTAAGTAAATCATTTCCTTCCAACCAACATTAAAATATACCCAAATCAAAAATGAAACGATTTCTCAATTTTAAATCATTTTTCCTCATCCTCTTCTTCTTCCGGCATTCCGAATTGTCCTATGAGTCTTATTAAAAATTTAATAACAATTTTCTGCAAATTCTGACGACCTCAGTGTAATCAGGTAACAAGTAATACAATTTCAGTTCTCTTTCGACAAGATTTAATTTTTCTATTTCAATCTAAAGAAATTTAACTGCATAGCAACACCTTTTGGGTCATTGAATACCAAAATTTAATTTCTATTGGAGCTTTACGATTTTTTTTCCTTACTGTTAAAATCTGTTGTTGTTTTTCAGTCCAAAGAAATTTAACGGCATATCAACACCTTTAGGGTCATTGAATACCAAAATTTAATTTCTGTGGGATCTTTACTATTTTTTTCTTTCCTACTAAAATCGGTTGTTGTTTTTCTGTCCAAACACATTTGACGGCATATCAACACCTTTTGGGTCATTGAATATCAAAATTTAATTTTTGTGGGAGTTTAGAATTTTTTTCTTTACTAATTAAAATCTGTTGCTGGAATTATTTACTATGCAAATGTATCTTTGTACTTTCATAGTGTTTTGATCCCAGTTTGGGTGTTCACTATTTGTTTATATTTAGGACCCTAACAGGTGCTACTACCCCGGGCCATGGTGGACCTGGGAAAAACATATCAAAAGTTTTGGGAGGCCTTCATTGTTTATCGTACCAAAAGATTTAGGACTTTAAATACAAAAATCATGGATAGGAAAAAGTGTAAAAGATTTTCTAACTAATTTTTTTTCCTGAACTGTTAAAAATGTATTTCTGATTTTTCTGGTTGCAGTATTTTGTTTTTTAGACATTAAATATTGGCGCGCTCGACGGAAAGGACGTTGTGCCTGTTCCATCGACGTCGCAATTCTTCAAGTCAGAGTCATCCTTCTTTTCTACTTGTTATCAAATAAACCTAGAGAGAATTGACAGCCATTTTATTCAGCATATAGCAGAAGGTTGGGTAAGTCATGTATTTATACCGATGCCTATGGTGTTTTGATCCCAATGATATTTGGAGATTGTTCGGCAATTTGTCTACTGCGTTTAGGAATCGTAAAAACTATTATAAGTGTTTAAGTCCTCAACGGTGACATATCCATATACCTGTTTTAAGGTAACTTAAACCCTTTTATATAAATGTGGTTGTACTTGCTCCGGTGAATACCCGGAAGTGAAAACCTCCTGAATGTGAGGCCTTTTGCTAGCCGGATGAATTTAGTTTATCGATCTACTAATACCCAAATTATTACGTACATTTATTAGCGATTCTTGCGTTTGTCATTCATTTGAGACCTTCCCGGAATCCACAACAAAATCATGGATCAAGGAAAAAATGTACTCAAAAACATAATTTTGAATCTGTCTATTTTCTGAGACGTATTATGTACACTATTTATATTACGGACTATTGTCCTCATCTTTTCGCCATATTTATTACAATTTCGGGTATCTGTCTATATGAGATGAAGTATTAATCATTTATATTATTCGGACTATTGTCCTCATCTTTGTCGCCATATTTATTACAACTTTTTCAGATTTCAATCTGTCTGGTTCGAGATGAGTATTATACATTTTTACATTATTCGGAGACATTCAAAATATTGGCAAGGTTTCTGCCTTTCAGTATCTGGAATATTTCTGAGATGTGTATTATGTTCTATTTACATTATTCGGACTATTGTCTTCTTTTGTCACCATATTTATTCAACGTTAACGCCCTTTTAGTATCTGTCTATATTTCTGAAATGTGGTATTAACACTATTTACATTATTCGGACTATTGTCCTCATCTTTGTCACCATATTTATTCATTTCGGCCTTTCAGTATCTGTCTATATTTTGAGGTATTATGTACACTATTTACATTATTCGGACTATTGTCCTATCTTTGTCACCATATTTATTGCAAATTCGGCCTTTCAGTATCTGTCTCATATTTCTGAGATTAGGTATTATATACAGATTTTACATTATTCGGACTATTGACCTTCTCTTTGTCGCCATATTTATTACAACGTTAACGTCGAATGTCTATATTTCTGAATCGTAAAAACTATTTTACATTATTCGGATTATTGTCCTCATCTTTGTCGCCATATTTATTGCAACGATTCGGCCTTTCATATCTGTCTATATTTCTGAGATGATTTTATGTACATTATTTACATTATTCGGACTATTGTCCTCAACTTTGTAGCCATATTTATTGCAAGGTTTCTGCCTTTCAGTATCTGTCTATATTTCTGAGATGAGGTATTATGTACATTACTTACATTATTCGGACTATTGTCCTCAACTTTGTAGCCATATTTATTACAAGGTTTCTGCCTTTCAGTATCTGTCTATATTTCTGAGATGTGGTATTATGTACACTATTTACATTATTCGGACTATTGTCCTCATCTTTGTCACCATATTTATTACAACGTTAACGCCCTTTAGTATCTGTCTATATTTCTGAGATGTGGTATTATGTACACTATTTACATTATTCGGACTATTGTCCTCATCTTTGTCACCATATTTATTACATTTCGGCCTTTCAGTATCTGTCTATATTTCTGAGATAAGGTATTATGTACACTATTTACATTATTCGGACTATTGTCCTCATCTTTGTCACCATATTTATTGCAACGATTCGGCCTTTCAGTATCTGTCTATATTTCTGAGATTAGGTATTATATACACGATTTACATTATTCGGACTATTGACCTTCTCTTTGTCGCCATATTTATTACAACGTTAACGCCCTTTAGTATCTGTCTATATTTCTGAGATGAGGCATTATGTACACTATTTACATTATTCGATTATTCTCCTACTTTGTCTCCATATTTATTGCAACGATTCGGCCTTTCAGTATCTGTCTGAGATGAGGTATTATGTACACTATTTACATTATTCGGACAAAAACATATTTTTACAAGGTTTCTGCCTTTCAGTATCTGTCTATATTTCTGAGATGGCGTATTTATGTACATTATTTACATTATTCGGACTATTGTCCTCATCTTTGTCGCCATATTTATTACAACGTTTTTCTGCCTTTCAGTATCTGTCTATATTTCTGAGATGAGGTATTATGTACACTATTTACATTATTCGGACTATTGTCCTCATCTTTGTCGCCATATTTATTACAACGTTTCGCCCTTTCAGTATCTGTCTATATTTCTGAGATGTGGTATTATGTACACTATTTACATTATTCGGACTATTGTCCTTCATCTTTGTCACCATATTTATTACAACGTTTCGGCCTTTCAGTATCTGTCTATATTTCTGAGATGAGGTATTATGTACACTATTTACATTATTCGGACTATTGTCCTCATCTTTGTCGCCATATTTATTACAACGTTTCGGCCTTTCAGTATCTGTCTATATTTCTGAGATGAGGTATTATATACACGATTTACATTATTCGGACTATTGACCTTCTCTTTGTCGCCATATTTATTACAACGTTTCGGCCATTGTACGTTCCGACCTTCTTCTGGTGAAGGGAATGTCGAACCGAACCCTTTATTTCACTCACTGGGGTAGACTTTTCTAGTTCCACGTGCCATGTCTAATCGATGTCAGTTATCAGTTATCTCTTGTTAATTTCCCTCACGAAGTTCTCCACCGCCTTAACCAAGTATTGAACTCACACTCTTTGGGTTCTGTCACTGGATGTAACTAATGCCTTTATCCACTGTGCCATGTGTCCTCGATGACACATGACTAGGTAGATAACGGCGTTAGACATGGCACGTGGAACTAGAACAGTCCGCCCCAGTGAGCGAAATAAAGGGTTCAGTTCGACATTCCAAACACCTGAAAAGCTACCGAAACGTTGTAATAAATATGGCGAAAAAGATGAGAACAATAGTCCGAATCATGTAAATAGTGTACATAATACCTCATCAGAAATAAGAGATACTGAAAGACGAAACGTTGTAATAAATATGGCGACAAAGATGAGGACAATAGTTGAATAAATAAATAGTGAACATAATCCTCATCTCAGAAATATAGAAGATATGGGCCGAAACGTTGTAATAAATATGGCTACAAAGATGAGAACAATGGTCCGAATAATGTAAATAATTTTTATATAATACCTCATCTCAGAAATATAGACAGATACTGAAAGGCCGAAACGTTGTAATAAATATGGCGATAAAGATGAGGACAATAATCCAATAATCATCTCGGAAATATAGACAGATACTAAAAAGTCGAAACGTTGTAATATATGGCGATAAAGATGAGGACAATAATCCGAATAATGTAAAATAGTGTACATCATCATCTCAGAAATATAGACAGATACTGAAAGGTCGAAACGTTGTAATAAATATGGCGACAAAGATGAGGACAATAGTCCGAATAATGTAAATAATGTACATATTACCTCATCTCAGAAATATAGACAGATACTGAAAGGTCGAAACGTTGTAATAAATATGGCGACAAAGATGAGGACAATAGTCCGAATAATGTAAATTGTGAACATAATTTTTGTTCATCCAACTCACCTACTGCAATTAACCATCCTCAGCAAACAAGATCGCTTCTCAAACTTCTCCGCTTAAGGCAAAAATAACTTATTCATAAAATCATTGCATCAGTAAATAGTCATATGTTAGCGTTACAGATTTTCTCGGCCTTCAGGCCTGATATCAAAATTCAGTTTCTGCTTTTCATATCCCCGTCGTGTTTCTGTCTTCCTACAATTCATTGAAAATATTCAAGGGATCTAAATTCTCGGCAGCATCTCCCTCAGTGCACTCAAAACGGAAGCTCGCTTTAAAACAGACGACGTAGTGACAGTCGTCGCATCGACCCGCTAAAATTTGGACAAGTGGATACCCAT